CAGTGAGCCAATGTGGCTATCACTTGGGGGTAGGATGAGGTGCCCGTGTTAAAAACTGGGTAGACTGCATTCTGCATTGGGTAGACTGCATTCTGCATTCCATTGCAGCAGAGTTAGCAAAAACAAACAAAGTGGCAAGGATCAAAATGTTCAAACTAGGGCCTGGCCACTGTGGCTCAGTGGATTGAGCGCAGTCCAATGGACTGAGGGGTCCCGGTTCAATTCCCAGTCAGGGCACATGCCCAGGTTGTGGGCTCGATCCCCAGTGGGGGGCATGCAGGAGGCAGTCAATCGATGTTTCTATCTCTCTCTCTCCCTTCCCCCCTCTCTCTAAAAAATCAGTAAATATGTATATATATGTGTGTGTGAATATATATATATTTTAAAAACATACATACTTGGAGCTGCGTTTGGATATTTCCGGAGAAGTAGAAACAAACAAAATAAACTTACCAGGTGCTTTATTTCACCCAATGTTTTATAAAATAAATTTTAAGAAAGAGCTTTATGGAGACCTGAACAGTTGAACTTGACTTGTAAAACCGGAGTAAAGTTCCCATCTGTCAAACAGGACCTGGGCATATGCGACCTTTCTACTGTATTCATGCCAGGCTAACTAGATCTCCATATCTCCCATCATGACCACTTCCAACAGCCAAACTCAGGGGTGTACAAAAAAACTTGATTTTGTTTTGATGTGCTGTTGCCAGTAAGATTTCAATTGAATAAGATTCTACCTGATCTTTTCTGGCTTTCTTTCCTCTACCCATACAAAGTCTTTGTCAGATCTGGCCCCATCTCATGTCTACCTAAACAAAGATGCATAAAATCAGAACTAAAATCATGGGTAAGTGAGGAGAGGAGGCATATCTCCCTATGCACAGCAAAGACGGTTTCAAGAAAAGTTCAGGTAGCAAAGAAACACAAATAGAATTCAGAAGTTTCGCATTCCACCTCATTTTTCTTGCCCTCTTTTACTTCACCAACCCACCCATTAATGCCAAAGAGACTCTAAGCATTCGCCAAAGAGGCAGATGGTCACCTCTGCCCATCCACAGCATTGAAGCTAAAAATGTCAGTAGGTGGAGGAGACATGAAAAATGTCTCCAGATTTACTCCCCAGTACTGTCATTTGGTTATACCATGTTGAGCTGATAAATATGTTTGTTGAGGAATTTTCCTTTTAAACATTGTATTAAGGATTTCTTCAAGCTTATCCATCTTTTATGTGTTCCTTCTAATGAGGAAGGAGCCAAAGAGCCCGCCCACAACCAAGAGGAAGCTCCTAGAACCTTCTGAGAAGGGAGTGGGCCAAACCGAGCCTAAGTTTGGTAGTGCCCTGTGGATTCTGGTTTGCATTCTTGTTGGAAATACTTTCTAGTCATACTCGCTGGAAGAATTATGCGAATAATCTTTTAATTACAAATAAGAATGCTATTTAAAAAAAAAACACTGGGTTACCTGAGACCCCATAAACAGGACCTTGCTTGTCCTATGAGGTCACAGGAGACTTCCCAGGGGAGGTGTACTTACTGGTGATCTACCTAATGGATAGGTGTTGACCAGGGTGTGTGCAGATAAAACAGGAAGGGATAGAAAGCATTTAGGAAGAAGGTGCTACATGTGAGAAGGAGCAGGGTGCATGGAAGGAGCAAGGTGACGCAGAGGCTGGAGCACAGAGAGTGAAGGGAGAGTACAGCGGGGTGAGGTGGAGAGGGGGTGGCCACATCCTGCAGGCCCGTGGGGGTGGGGCAGCTAGCCTTTATCCCTGAGCCCTGGGCCACTCCGTGCACAGGAGGCTGCAGCAGTGCTGGGGGCTTGAGGGAAACGCAGGCTGCTTCCCACCTGCTCTTCCAGGCGACACGTGGGCTATGGCCCTGGGTGGCGGGGGGTAAGGTGGAGAGGCCTGGCATGTCCCTGTGCCCAGGTCACTTCTGTATGCTGGTCTGGGCAGGAGGGTTTGCTCCCTTGCAGACAGTCCCTCCAGCTTCAAGGCTTGGAATGATCATCTCAAGGTTTCAAATGAGCCTATCTAGATCACACTTTGAAACACTCTCCTGCCAGCCTATGGGCGAGCTGCTCCCTGCCCCCAGTAGCAGACGGTGATGGGGGTGAGGAGGTGAAGGGGTGGGGCTCAAAGCATTAGGGAGAGTTCTTTCTCATTCCTGCTTAATAGAGCCAGACACCCAACCAATGAGACCAGGTTGGAGGTGCCTCAATCCTATTTATCTGAACATGGTAGCATTTTTCCAGAAGCTCAGATGGCCAACTTACGGGGTGTCAGCATGGAATCTAGATTATAAATTAATCCACTTCTGATTAATACTAAATTGAGTATTTGGGCACTGTGTTTTGCTGTATGTAGAAGTCAATAAATACCCAGTAAGTTACCTTGAATGGCAACCCACAGATGGGCTGGTCTGAGCGGTGGACCACTTGGTGTTGCCCTTCCTCACAGTCGGCACATGCCTACACATATGGGGTGAAACATATTGCTGCTGACCCCTCTTAGTCCCTGGCACACCCAGGCGCCCTGGCCACTGTCTGAACACCGGCCTCCTGTCTCGCTCATTGACGAAGCTCTGGCCTCTCGGAGGCTCCATCTGGAAATGACCATACATAGCCATTTAGTATGTACGGGTGTCAAGTGAAACCTTTGTTAAAGATGTTATAAAGCCCTGGCCGGTTTGGCTCAGCGGTTAGAACGTCAGCCTGTGATCCAGAGAGACCTGGGTTCAGTTCCCGCTAAAGGCACGTACCTCAGTTGCAGTTTGTCCCCGGACCCGGTTGGGTCATGCAGGTGGCAGCCACTCAATGTGTCCCTTTCATGTCAATATTTCTCTCTCTCTCTCCCTCCCCACTCTATCTGAACAAAAATGGAAAAATGTCCTTGGGTGAGGATAAAAAAAAAAAAGATATACTAAAGACAAGACACTGAGACTGTAAGAAAGGGAAAGGAGAATAATAACAATAGCATGCACCATCAATTGAGCACCCACTGCATACCAGATATTTTACAAACATCACTGCTCATCACAACTCAATTTCGGCAAGATTAATGCAACTGTTTCCATTTGACAGATGAGGACAGTGGAGCTCAGGGAGGTTCAGGGACTTGTCAAATCCTCACAGTAAGAAAAAGACAGGGCTGGGGTTCCTCTGACAACTCCACTGTGCTGCCATGCAGCAAGGGAGGGAGCTGGTAGCCCTGTATAGACAGAAGCTCAGCTGCTCTGCACCAAAACACCACATACCCAGGGTCCTTCCCATGCACACTGCCCACAGCATCCTTGTCACCATCTGTCTGTCTTCCCAAATATCCTGCTTCCGCTCACTCCCCTCCCTAACCCTGCCCAAAAAGGAGAGACACATTCTAGATCATTGTCCCCAGCACCTCACCCCTCCCTCCCATTCCCAGGCATTTCCTGTTTTTAAATCACCAGTGCCTCTGGGATGATAGGAAATCAGTGCTGGGCAGCAATGGCCCTCCTCCGAGATTGCCTTAAGGAATTGGAGCCAGTGCTGAGTGGGTGAGCAAAATCATGGCTTCAGTGCTTCCCAGAAGCCTTCAGCAGGCTTCCCACAAGGGCCAGGAAGTGGAGGCAGATGAAATGATGGTTTGAAACCCCTGGAGGCCTGAGCCTCTGCCTCTTAATTAATTGAATAGTGTCCTTTTAGATGATTGGACTCCCAGTCCCCTGGCTGGTGTTCACAGAGCCTCAAGTCAGAAGCCTGTCTCAGCATACAAAGATGACATCACAGAGAATGGTTGCCTGGACGATAACAGTGGGAATCAGAGCCCAAATGAGATCCCGGAATAATTATTAAGTCAAAGGAGATGTGTGCTTAGTAGGGAAGAGCTTGATGCCTGGTATGCAGTCTGCCATGCAGGCAGGAAAGCCCTCCAACTAGAAGATTAAGGAACTGGTCCAGTGGGCAATGCCCAAGCACGCATCCACAAGTGGTCCACACTAACCCTGACGCTAAGATATCAAAAGATACCTGGAGAGCTTCATATTTACCAGACTCCCCTAAGGAAAAGGACTGTATGTAGGGGACCCAAAGTCCAATAATGAGCTTCAGATGAGAGGAGGGAGCCATCAAAGGACATGGTAGAGTCACAGTAGATACTGGCCAAACTGCCTTGTAAAAAACGAAATCTAATTAATTGCAAGGGCTTTCCTTTATGAATGGGGTGTGCAAACTGAGGACAAGAGTAAGGAGAGGTTGCTTACTGCCACCCAGCTGTCCTCCTTCCCTGTCCTCCCATGTGTCACTCGTCATCTTGTTGGTTGGAAGGGGCTCCCAACTGCTCCCCACCAGAGTGTCCACATGTCTCTCTTCAGCCCCAGTGATAGGGCAACTGCAGAATACAGTCTTATAATGTTGTTATATAGATCTTTGAACCCCTTAAATTTCAGAGCCCTGAAAAAAATCCCTGGTTACCCCTTCTTTACTTCCCACTGTTGGAAATCAGTCTGCCTCACCATCACACTCTACACCCTCTCTTGATGGCTACCACTTGGGGCCAGTGACAGTTAACAGGACTACCAACAGCTTGAGTGTGGTCCACACAAGACTCATCTCTGCAACACCATCTTAACCTCTGTTGTTTACAGTTGTTTGTTAAATATATAGCTGTTCAGACGGATGGATGAGTGATTTCATGCATGAATGACTGAATGAATAAATGAGTGAATAAATTTGCAAGATAGCTACCTGGGGTAAGAGAGGAAACTCTTACCTGTGAAACATTTGTTCTTTATACAAAACTACAACAGACACAATTGAGAATGGAACTCTCAGCCTAGACCATGCTGTAACTAACTGAGCTATTCTGCCCAGAAAGACGTATCATGGCATTGATTAAGCCTGCCTGGGTTGGGCCTAGTACTATGGTAATTATGGCCACACTACCAAGGCACCTCCTGAGAGCTTGCCTCTTGGAAAGAAGATGCCTGAAGATTTCCACTGACGTGTTCTTTTTTTTTTCTTTACAGATTATCAAGGAGATCCCTCCACCCCCTGTTGAGGAAAGTGAGGTGAGTGACCGAGCAAGGTGTAGCCAGATGGACGGGGTGGTGGAATGGGGCAGAGGGCTGAATGGGCTGGCCTGAGACTCTGGCCCCTGCAAAGCAGAGCTAAGTCCGGCCCAGGCTCCCAGCGCATATGAAGCAGCATGGCGGGGAGGTCTTTGGCTCTTTCCTGATCAAAGATGAACAGGAATTAAATGAATCCGGCAGTTACAGACAGGTGGTTTCAGAAGGTGTTCTCCTAGCAAAGATAAAATGTGAGATGCAACCATAAACATTTTTATCAGTTCAGTTGTTTGGAGCTCCAGGTACTGATTTTTCCTCTAAAAGAGACACTTTAGAGACCTCTCCTCCCTGCAGAGATATATGCTTTATGTGTGCAGATCAGGGAAAATCAGTGATTCTAGGAACAGCCTGATGAAGCGTTCTTTAATTTAAAACAATGTTACCTAAAGATTTGCCAGAAAGTAATGAAAATATGTTGTAAGGGGATATGCTAATGTCCTGGTGTTGCTCTCAAATCCTCTTCATTTGAAGGAAGAACAGTATCTTAGACTCCACCATATGCTGGCCAGTGAGCAGTTTTCCTGGGGTAGAAAAGAGTGGAGGCATTAAAGGCTGATGGCGAGGAGCATCCAGGGGCAGGAGAGCCTGGCCAGGGGCCTTTCTGGTCCTCTTGTCACTCCTGGGAGAGCTGGCCCCACTGGACGCAACACTCACCAATTTAGAAACCAGGATACAGATGAAAAACACAGTGAGACCAAAAGTTATATTGATGAAGTTTCTAGTTCATTGTCCTCAATCCCTAAGGACAATGGGTTGTGTGCAAACCGAGCACCACGCCCTCATCATTCCTCTTCCCAATGCCTTTGTCAAGTTTCCTACATACAGAAAGAATAATGATTAAATTTAAAATTCCATGTGGCTCTTATATCCTGAACCATATGCATGTAATCCAAGGGATTTAATAGCTGCCATCAATTAAAGCACATCTTGTTGGAATGCTAACTTCCTGCCCAGAAATCAGGGGAGGAAATTACATTGCTGTGGAAAGAAGAGGGAGGGGAGGGAAAAAACCTTCTTTACATCCACAAGAGCCTTTGCCTAATCCTTCTCGAGAAAGCACCGTGCTTAGTTCTACAGGTTCCAGTTTGGCTGTGTTTCCATTGTGTGCAGCTGTCTCTTACACTTCCAGAAAAAAACTGGGTCAAGAAACTCTCTTGGTGAGGTTCTGTTTGCCCTGAGGGAAGGGTCCCCCCCCTCACTATGTCCTATGGGAGTTGTTGCCCTTTCTTCTGGTGCTGGCTCTTTGGGAGGTGATGTGGCAGCTATTGTGGCCGAAATACGTTGGGGGGGGTATGGCTTACCCCAGACCCCAGCATCTAGCACAGGACTGCACACACACAACAGCTCAGTAAGTGTGTGTAGAATGAACTATTATACTCAACAACACAATGTTTGGGGGCTGGGGGGTGGGGGGGAGAAGCTCAAACCAGAAAAATACCAAGAAGGAATAGCTGAAAGCAAGAAAAGTAGTCAAGTTTTTCCAGTTTCATCTAATGTTCTTAGAGAAGTTTCACCTAAAGAAAACAGAACTGGTTTCTGAAACAGAATGGCAATCTGGGGATGCTTGGGGGTTAGACCTAAACGAGCTTCCCTGCTGGTAGGGTGGGCTGCAGGTACTCTGTCCCTTAGCGTGTGCCTTGGCCGTGGGGGTCCCCTGGCCCCAGGAGCTGAGCAGCCCTGTCTTCTTCCTAATGTGTTTTGGCAGAAAATAATAAAGAAATCCCACAGAAACAGATAATGTAACTTAGCCCACACAGAGTATTTTATACATTGCCCCGAAAATCATAGTCTAAATCTAGACAAGCTTCTCCACTCCAGCTCCCTGGGTTCAAATCCCACCCATCCTTCAAGCACAGCTCATATATGCTACTATCTCTATAAGCCACACTGTAATTCCTTCCATCAAGGCTCGTTTCTCATTTCTCCCGTCTCTGCATTCCCAAGGTGTTTCATTGACTCTTCCTTCTGCGTCAAAGTTTAAGACCATTCGCTACTTAAAGATCAAGACCTATATCTAATTAATCTTTGACTTATCCCCAAAGAGCTTAACATGTTGTATAACACTCAATTACTAGCTATATGAAGTCACACATTCTCTGCCATTCATATATATGAACATGTTAAATATCGGTTATTTCAACTTTCATCAGATCTATTAGCATCGTATCCCAAGGGAAGAATAGCTACTATTTAAACAACTAACCTTCAAGAATGAACACAACTTTATAATGCACTCACGGTGATCCTCTTTATAGGGAATATCAGTGTGCATGATATAAAAAGTCATGACTTTTTGAGATTCCATGCAACCAACAGTTATCCTTCTCTATAAAGGGAGACAAAGGAAAATTACTTGAAATTTTGAGATCTCAACAAAAGCAAGGAAGCTCAGTTTTAACAACTCAGAGGGCTGTTTCTTCTCTAATTGGCAGCAAAGTGAGGATTCCTTACTAAGTCTCTCATTACTCCAAATAGTTGGCAGTTTATGGGAGAATTCAGTAATGAAGTACTTCAGCTGCTGGTTTATTCTAAGTAGAGTCATCGTCCATGGATTTCCTGACTCTGTGAGAGGGAGAGGATGTGTATTGAAGGCACTGGCACTGGGTAGGGCATCCCTTTAACAATAAGCACCTACCTTTGAATGATGAACTTATTTCCAGGTTTATTATCATGCTTACTGATCCTAACAATTTCTTCGAGGCAAGAATGTTTTAGATGAAAGTAACTGAGTGATGGAAAAATTATACAAGTTGTCTAGAAGCGAGCAGCAGTCCTGGTGCCCCTCACAGCTGTGTCTACACAACCACAGTAGCCTCCCACTCGGAGGGGTGAAGGGCCAGGCTACCTCCAGTGGACATCAACTGTACACTGATACACACACACGTGTACATGCCAAACAAGTCCGAGAACAGGCCCAGACTTCAGCATTCAATATTTCAATAGTTAAAAGAAGATACATTGCTTCTAAAAAAAAAAAACCAATAAACACACCATTCTTTACTGAAGAATGCAGGAAAATTGTTGCATCATGCTTAGTCATGTGTGCCTGTGGGCAGGTATGATGGTGCTATGACATGTTGGGCAGCTCAGACAGGGACATCTTAGGTCATTTGGAATTTTTGTATTTACAAACATAAGTGTTGCTGGATTTTTCAGTTTATTAATTCCTAGGAATTAATCTCCAAGACTGAGCATGAGGGTGACTTCCCTGGCTAATCCCCAAAGCCTTCAGATGAGACAGACAGCCAGTTCTAGTTTAGGTTCGGCCCTTCAGAGCCTCCTGGGATTAAGGGTTTCTGTGGCCTTTGTCCTTTACTTACTTCATGTCATCGCCCTCACAACTTACTCCTCTATAAATGTAAACGACCACGTTGACAGCTGCATTCTCTTACTTTTTCTAAAATATAGCACTGTGCTGGCCCAGGGGCCTCAGCTGCGGTGGCTGGAGTGAGTGAATGGAGAAATGGACAAATAAAGGGTCCTTGTTCAAGGCTATCGGGGCGTATCAGAAGGATTAAAGATGTGTTACAGTTCACTGAAATTTTAAATTAATTCGAAGGCTGATTTAAAACTGTTTCCTTGGGCTTGATTCTGTTTCGGTTACATTCTCCTTTCCATAGATAGTTCCCTCTGGTACCTGCAGCAAATTGGGGTTTGAGAGCCTATTTGGGTCAAGCTGGCCATCTGGTTATCAGAGAACAGGAATGTTAAAGAACTTTTGATTGAGTCTAAGAGGGCTACCATATGCACAACTCCAGGGGGAGCTGTTCACATCAGGCCTGTGGTGTTGTCCAGGGCACAGTCTCTATGGAGGAGTGAGGCAGCCCTGGGATCAGAGATCCCACCCTTCTACTCCCCACTTTGCTTAATCACTGACTAATAGTTAAATATTTGTTGAGGGAGGGAAGGTCACTACAAGGAGCTGTGAGAACACAAGAAGGGAGCATTGAATTCTCTGGAGAGTCCAGGAGATCTTCACAGAGCAGGTTACATTCGAGCTGTATCTTAAAAGATGGGTAGAAGAAGTGGGGGGCGAGTGTTACAAGCATGCAGAGCTGTGAATGTTGAAGCATGGAGAGGTACAAAGGCCTGATGTGATTGGAAAGACAGAAGAGTTCACTCTCTGGCCCAGGCAGTGTGGCTCAGTGGGTTAGAGCGTCATCCCATGCACCAGAAGGTCTCAGGTTTGATTCCTGGTCAGAGCACATATCTGGGTTTGATGCCTAGCCCAGTCGACAACCAATCCATGTTTCTCTCTCACATTGATGTTTCTCTCTCCCCCTTTCCCTCCCTCTCTATCTGAAATCATGAAAAAAATATCCTCTGGTGAGGGTTAAAAAAAAAAGTTCAGTGTCTGAGGGCAGCACAGGACTAGCCCGATCTGGGGCTAACCCAATGTGTGCATCTGAGTTCCGAGTCTACAGCTATTTCTTCCTCGAGCAGGAGTGTGACTGAGGACAAGCAGGTCAGATGGGCCTCTACCATCTGAGAAATGTGTTGCCACTTGTGTGCCCCAGACAGCAGCCAGTGGACATCTGGGGCTACCACATCCTTTAAGATGTAAACATAACTTCCCCTGATGGGAAACCAGCACCCCTCCCCAGTCTCTGCTGTTTCTCCAGGCACCACTGACTCCTGCTTCTTGCTTCTCCTGTGATGTCTCCTCTTCTTCGTTTGCTGGACACCATGTCACAAACCGATTCCTGCACGCCCCCAAGGCAGCACTGGCACAAGGCCATCTGCGTGGGGACTTTTACTGCAGGGGTAAAAGTCCATGGTTACAACACAGTGCAGCCAGTGAACAGCTCCTGACAGAAGAAACAGCCTCTTTTGAGGCCTCACTGTCACCCCCACTGCCGGGAGGTCCTCAGGGGCCTCTCCTCAGGTGGCCCTGGCGGCTTAGTGGGAGCTCAGTTCCACTCTTGCCTGCTCAACTTCTGCCCGCCGCCCACCAGCCCCTCTGCTCACACAAAGCAAGTCAGTCTACCCATCTGTCCTCCAATGATCACGGGGGATTCCTATATTGGTGGCTTTCCCCTCCCTGCTGCAGCCTGGCAGGGCAGTGTGGCCGGAGCTCGCCGAGAGCCCTTGCACTTTATTAGATGTAGTTCACCCCGGGTGCTGCCGATTTTCCTAGTGGGCTTGCTGGGGGCTGATTCTACTCCATCCGTTTTGGGCCACATCAAAGATTCCCCTCATCCGAAGATTGCAAAACCCTCCCGTCTCTAGAATGTGTAAACAGAGCCGCGCTAACTGCAGGGAAATTCTGACTCTCCTCGGTCAAACCCCGAGCCCTTCGCTGTCTTTGCTGCTGCTGTTTGAGTTTGGCAGGCAAGCCCGGGTCAGGGGATTAGCCGGCAGCTTGGTGGATCCGGAGCGTGCGGAGCTGATTCAAGTGCTGGCATTTCCTGTGGTGGGAAGGGCCCCGCACATGCGCAGAAGGCTGCCCCCCCCCCCCCCAGGCCCAGCCCGGGAGCAGAGGCAGCACAAGTCCAGGGCCAGGGGGGCAGAGAGGTGAGGAAGGGCAGCTGGGTGTGCAAGTTGGGGTGGGGGGCAGATCCTGGACACTAGGCATCAGGAAACCAGACCAGAACTGCACCCCTATTGGTATCTTCATTCCCCTGAATCCAACTCTCCTCTTCCGGGCTATGGAAAGGCTCAATGAGATGGTCTCTTATGTTTGCCTTCCGGTCGTTTAAGAAATTAGGAGACTCATCAAACCATTTCAGTTCCCTATCGAATAAAGTAGCTATTCTCTCGGAGTCTCTTATGTTCTTGGTGTTCCATTTTGGATGATATAATGTTAGTTATCTCCTTTGGAAATGGCCCTAGGCCAGGGGTGCCCAGGCTTTTGGAAGCGCTATGACATGGATGACTCACAGACACACACATCTGCCTCCAGCGGTCCAGTTTCACCATCCACATCGGACGCCTAAGGTCCCCGGTTTGACATCACAGGCCTTCTAAAGTCATAGCATAAGGCAAAATGCTGTGAATTATTTTATTATTTGGGGAGTTTTGTTTTTACTTTTTTATTTTGTCATGCTTTACAGGCATGCATTTTTAAAATGAGTAGGTACAAGGGGTAAGAAGTAGAGAACTAGCATTTATTTGATATCATTAAATGATTGGAAAAGCAAAATGCAAAGGGCCAAAAGCCAGAACCACCAACACGGAGAAACATTAAAGGAGAATGAGGCTGCCCAGGCTCAAATCCAGCTTTGCCACAAACAGGCTGGTGGCCTAAGTCACTTACCCTCTCTATTCCTCTGAAAGTGGGCACAATCGCACCTCCTACCTCACTGCCCATTGTGTAAGGGGTCAATACACGTAAAGCATTTAGAAGAGTGACTAGCCCATACCTGGTAAAGCCTACATAAATTCAACTATGGTGATCACAAATTCAGTATGTGTTTATTGAGCACCTACTGTGCACCAGGCTTTGTACAAGGTCAACAGAATCCTCTCTGCCTTCAAGACTCACAGTCCCATGTGAAGAAGGACACATCTATTTTAAAAAGACAGAGAGAGAAGAGAGACCAGCCCCAGTGGCAGCTGCCAAAATAGCAAGTCCTCTGATCTGCTGTGATCACCGTCCTCTAAGACATGTTCTTTTTTTTTTTTTATTTCAAAATAATCCTACAGCATGTTGCCTAGGGAGTCTCAGTGCCTAACTGCTTTGTTTGTCACCTCTAGCTCTGGTCTTTCTTCTGCACACCACTTGCCTGTGCTTTGTATCTTGTCTCCTGCATGGGACTCCCCTTTCCACACAGTGGCAGCCCTACATAGGACTAAGGCCTCAAGTCCCCAAATGCCACCAACACAAAGCCATCAGGAAGCAGGCTTGTTCTGAGCACTTTTGTCCTCTCTGGCTCATTCGCCTGCTTTGCAAACTCCCCTTTTTAAGCTTCCTTTCTCTACCCAAGGAAGTCATGCCACCGCCCTGTGAGCCACCCATGGCTGTAGATGGTGAGCTCTTTCTCCCCACGGCAGGAACAATTTCAGGGATGAGGAGCAGTTTTGCTAATTATTCTTCTCTTTCCCATCCATTCAGTTGAAATTTCCTCTTGTTTTCTCCCTTCATCTTAAAAAAATATAATAAGTGCTAACTTTCTGTCACTGGGCTAAGTTGCAGACACTGAGTTTACTGCTTTATTTGAATATCTCATTTAATTTATCTGGCAGATGCAACAGACCATCTTTGGGCACCTACCGCATGCTAGGTGCTGTTCTAAAAGCTGAGAACACAGTGGTAAACATGGCAAACAGAAGCTCCCATGAAATTTACATTCCAGCACGGAGAGACAGACAATAAATAAATATCAAGCCTTAAGGAAGTCCATAACTAAAAATAAAACAGATTAATAGAGTGAAGGAACTGGGGCTACTTTTGAAGCATGTTCTGGAAAGGCCTCTCTGAGGAGCAGTAAGAAGGATCCAGCCACGAGCAGACTAAGTACAAAGTATTCCTAGATGAGGGAAGGGCTCGTCCCTAGGTCTCGAGCAGAACTGTGCTCCGAGCATTGGAGAGGCAGAGAGAGGACAAGGGGAGCAGGGAGAAGGGGAGCACGGGGAGGAAGAAGGCCGGAGAGGTGAGCAAAGGCCAGAGCTTGCAAGGCAGGGTTGGGGTTTGGATTTTATTCTGCTTTGTGGAGAATGGATTACAGGAATTATAGAATGAATAAGAGGGCAGCAGGGAAGCCAGTCAGGAGGCTACCGCAGTATCCAGAAGAAAGCTTGTGGGGACTTGGGACCAATGTGGTGGTTCGACGGTGGAGTTGGAGTTGGAGAAGTCACAGCTTTGGGATCTTTTAGAAGTAGGGCAACAGAAGTTGCTGACAAATTGAGTTGGGGCGAGGGAGAGGCAGTGAAGGAAAGAGAAAATTCAGGAATGACTCCCAGTCCGTGGGGAAGACTACCAAGCAGGTTCTCGCTGGGGAAATCAGGACTTCTGTCTGACGCATGGTTGAGATGATTGTAAGTGCCCCAGGAGCTGACATCAGTGTCAAGTCAACAGAGTTCACGGGAGTCAGAGATGGGGATATAAATCCACAAGTTATCAGTATGCAGAAGGGAGTAGGTGAGTTACCTACAAAACAGTAGAAATGCCAAAGAGAACAGGTCCCAGGATTGTGCCACAACCTTACCAGGTAGTACTGCTTTTATTCCTACTTTACTGGGAAGGAAAATAAGCTTAGAAAAGTTAAGTGACTTGCCCAAAGCCCCGGCACTGGGAACCCTGGGTTTCACCATTTGTCCATGTTGTCCATGTTGCCATGGTGGACACACCTCCAAGCAATAGTGCTCTGCTTCCTTCATGTCCACACTCTCTCTGCAGGAGGAAGATGACGATGGTCTGCCCAAGAAAAAGTGGCCGACGGTGGATGCCTCTTATTATGGTGGGCGAGGTGTTGGAGGCATTAAAAGGATGGAGGTAAGAGAACAGCTGAATGGACAGTGGTTCCCCTTATCTGTGGTTTCGCTTTCCACAATTTCAGTTACCTGCAGTCAACTATGATCCAAAAAATTAAATGGAAAATTGCAGAAATATACAATTCTTAAGTTTTCAGTTACATACCATTCTGAGTAGCATGATGAAATCTCAAACTGTCCCACTCCATCCCTCCGGGACGTAAATCACCCTTTTAGTCCCTGTGTCCACACTGATTTTTATTTAATGATGGCCCCAGAGCCCAAGAGTAGTAATGCTGGCAATTTGGACATGTTGAAGTGAAGCCATAAAATGTTTCTTTTTAAGCAAAAAGGTAAAAATTCTTGACTTACTAAGAAAGAAAATGAATCATAGGCTGAGGTTGTTAAGATCTATCATAAGAATGAATCTTCAATCCGTGAAATTGTGGAGAAGGAAAAAGAAATTCATGCTGGTTTTCTGAGAGGCCATATTCACATAACTTTTATTGCAGGACATTGTTATAATTGTTCTATTTCATTACTAGTTATTATTGTTAATCTCTTACTGTGCCTAATTTATAAATTAAACTTTTTCATAAGGTATGTGTGTATAGGAAAAAACATAGTATATATAGGATTCGGGACTACAGTATTCATAGTTCCAGGCATCACTGGGGGTCTCGGAATGTATCCCCCATGGATAAGGGAGGACTATTTCGCTCAGATCTATGTGCTGCCTACTCAGTAATGGAAAACCCGAGCAAACTGAGAACACTCACGCTTGAGGTCTGGCAGGGGTGTGAACTGTGAGGCATCAGGTGGAGAAAAGGCAGGTATAGCCTTTTAACTGTGCACCCCCATATCTTGCCCACGATGAGTCAGAGATGTTTGCTCATCTGCTCAAACCTCCCAGAGGTTTCTTCTCTCACTGGAACAAAATCCAAAGTTCTTACCTGGGCCTGCAAGGCCTTTGCACCTGCTGCCCCCCCACCGCCTGGACCATCTCATCCCTAAATATCCATCCACTTGGATTGCTCTCTGCTCCTTCAGCCCTCCCCCTTTCCCTTCTCCCACACCTCACCCTCCCCTGGGCCTGAAAGCTCACAGGAACTGAGGCTGGGGGCACCTGCAAGGCCTGTCCCACGTGTCTGTGTGACCCCCATTCTCTGAGGGCATCATTTTTTATTTTGTCATTGGGTTTTTTGTGTGGTGTTTAATTTAGGTTCGTTGGGGAGAAAAGGGCTCCACAGAAGAAGGTGCTAAGTTGGAAAAGGCAAAGAACGCAAGAGTCAAGATGCCAGAGCAGGAGTACGAATTCCCTGAGCCCCGGAACCTCAACAACAACATGCGGCGGCCCTCCTCCCCCCGGAAGTGGTACTCTCCCATCAAGGTGCGTCTCTTCCCACTCGAAACACTTCCGGGTGAAAATCAGACTCTTTGACATGGTGAAACATGAAACCAAGGTCCAGATTATCGCAATAGAGCAGATTTCTCAAGTCATGGGCTCCAAAGTACAGGTACTTACCTTTTCTGCAGGATCAAGGCTGAGAACTAGGCTTTTCAAAATCGCCACAGCAAAGTAGTGCAATGAGAGTGGTCTTGGGTAATAACCCCAAAGGATATTTTTTGGTTTCGGTAACATCTCATTCCACTGGTAGACGATTCCATTAACTAACAAAGATGGCAGGATTCCCCTTAAAACCTAATCTCTAGTCCTCTTGCCGTATCATGAGCCGCTCCCCTCCCAGCACACACTGGTGGGCTGCACTGGCCGTTGATCTAGAACTCATTCTCACTAGCTGTGAGCAAAACCCCTTTTTTCCCTCCACCGTCTCTCTTCCCCCTCACAGCTCCAGACCCTAAAATCTCTCTGGCTTATTGGGAAGTTTGAACCATAGGGGGCAGTTCATGCGTCCCGAAGGCCTCTTTTCCCTTGCTCTGGGGTACAGATGTCTTTGGAATTATGTGATGCACCAATACCCTTGCGCTTCAGGCTTGCCCGTTAACATCTGCCCCATGCCAGTTGTTAAAAAGCATGAGAAAAACCATAGCTGAAAACACTCTGAGAGAACCTGTCCCCACCTCTTCATTTCCTGAATCTCCCTCAAAACTGAGATCATCGAAGTCCTTGTTCCACCCAGGTCTGGAACCCAAGACCCCCAGCTCCGGTCTACAGCCTCCCAACAGCACTGGGCCAACTCCAAAGCCTCAGGGGAAAGACAGTGTAAGAGCCAGCTCTCATCTCACGCACGCACGCACGCACACAAACAGCCCTACCCCTCTTCCAACGGCCGCAAAAATAACATCCCGTATTCTCTGAGTTATTTGCTCATTTTAGAGTAGTCCTTCTCCTCTGAAATCAAAAGAAATGACCCTTTGAACAGCGAGTGACACTTTACTGGTGGCTGTCTCTTCCCAGCCGAGCCAGCTCATGCCCACACTCATTGCAGTGTCTTTTCGTTTTGGTTTGCCGTGTTTAAAGCAGCGAGATTCTTTTTTAAGATAAAACCCCCAGGGCAGTGGGTTGAACTCTGGAAAGATGTGGGCGAGATGTAGCTGCTTGTCTAACAGCTGTGCACGTATAATGATTTTCTGATGTGAAGCATGCAGACAGGAAGGAGCCAGAGGGAATCTCAGAGATGAAGAAGAAAGGGTGTTTCTGTGATGTCGTTTGCAGCCATCTGTACCTTGTGACTAACACAACATACTTGGCTGTAGCCAGGTTTTTCTTACTGTATTCTTGGATGTGGAGAGAACATTAGTTCTGTTGGAAGAATCTAATTTCTGCTTGACAACACATTGTCCCTCTGTTAACTGGTGGTTTAGGATGGACTTTTATGAACTAAATCGGGGTGTGGACAACTAGGTTTGAGAATCTAAAAACATTCCCAACACCCACTTGGAATTAGGATCAGTTCACTGAGTGTTCGTTGTGCGTCTACTATGTGCCAGGTACTGCGGGATACTGAGTATACAGAGGTTCTCAAACCTGGCTGGGAAAGCTTTAAAAATACGAAATCCCAGGCCTCATATCTCAAACCTAATGACTCAGAGTCTCACAAAAGGCTTTCAAAGGTATTCCATCCATCACAACATGCTCTTATTTTCATTAAGTGAAATTCCTTTTTCCCCCAAAGCCTCCCTTTCAAATTTCACACCCAAACTCCTCAAATGTTGCCCCAGCTACTGGTTCCTCCACAGCCCCTGCTCTTGAGCCTTCTTCTTTGTCATTGTGTTAAATTATGTTTTCAGCCCTGGCTGGTTTGGCTCAGCGGTTAGAGCATCAACCTGCGGTCCAGAGAGACACGGGTTCGGTTCTCACTAAGGGCGCATATCTTGGTTGCAGTTTGTCCCCTGCCCTGGTTGGGTTGTGTAAGTGGCAGCCACTGGATGTGTCCCTTTCACATTGATCTCTCTCTCTCTCTCTCTCTCTCTCTCTCTCTCTCTCTCCCACCTACTCTATCTGAACAAAAAATGGAAAAATGTCCTTGGATGAGGATTAAAAAAAATTTTTTTTAATTATGTTTTCATTCCGCCGTTGTGGCTCAGTGTCGACCCATGCACCAAGAGGTCACCGGTTCGAATCCCAGTCAAGGCACATGCCCAGGTTGTGGGCCCGATCCCCAGTCGGGGGGCATGCAGGAGGCAGCCAGTCGATGTTCTCTCTCATTGATGTTTCTGTCTCTTGCTCCCTCTCCTTTCCTCTCTCTCTAAAATCAATAGAGGGAAAAAAAATTTTAATAAATGCTAATTCTCAGGCCCCAACCCAAGTCTGCTGAAGCAACTTGGGGATCGGGCCCAGTAATCTGTCTTTTAACAAGTCCAGTTAAGAAATTGTCACAGGAGGTCCCAGCCAGCTTTCCAGTGGAGGTTCCCTGAGGGCAGGAACTGTGGTGTCTGGCAGAGTCCACGGTCATACCTTGTTGATTTGTCAGGAATCTCAGTGAGCAAACCCACACTGGATTTCACAGTCCATTCTACCACAAACACAACTACTAGATCACTGCCAAGTGGCTGAGAATCTTGAGTCTCATAGAATCGCCTGAACAGCCAGGCGGGAAAGACCTGTGATGCTGGTGGACTCACTAAGCACCTTGGCAGGATTCCCTCATTGAGGCCTGAGAAAGTGTGAGTGCCCTCTTGCTGGTGGAGCCGCTCGTGCCAACCTGCTCAGCTCACACTGCTAGGTAGGAGATGGACAATTGCTCTGTGTGATTGCCCATGTGTGTGAGTCTTCTCTCCACCACCAGTGACCCCCTGGAAGGCACCAACGATGCTTAACTGATCTTTGAACTGGCAATCTTTGAACAGCACTGTGCCTGGCACAGAGTAGGGACCCCACCACCTGTTGTTGAAGAGCAGAGGCATAGAATGTAATTATGAAGCCGTTTCCAGAGCGTCATGCCTGTTAGACTATTTCCTGTGACCCACCCAGATGGCTTAGGTACCTCCCAGTCCAATGAAGGTGACATTCTTCTTGCCGTGTCCTTGAGGGAAGAAGAGAAAAAGAAGCCATCTTACGTGTGTCTGGGCCGAATGGGGTGAGAAGGGCCAGAACGAAGAGAATTGAAAATAAAAGCACAGAGAGGAATTCAAAAGTCAAAATATATACTGTTTGTCCCGAAGAAGGGCAGACCCCTCCCGGAACTCGGTGTTTTTTCTATTTCACATGACGCATGCTCCAAGATGAGCCCCATTCTAGCCACAGTGCCTAGGACATCACTAGGCCTTGGACAAAACATTTAGCCTTATGAAGTACCATAAACTCTGCTTCCCTTTCCTGAACCATCTCACTGGGTTTGTCATGGTCCTGGCAGGAGACCGAAGGCATACTCAAAAGGGCTAAACTAGCATAGGTGTGGGCAGGGCAAGGGGAACCCACAGCCATGGTGAGGCGCCCAGGGACCAGCGACAGTGGGAGCTGAGGGCATTGAGGAGACATGGTGTCGCTGGAGCCCTAGAGATGAAGCCACTCAATGGAACTGTGGCCATAGAGAGGGAGTCAGCAATCTAAACCTGCCTGCCACCTGTTTTTACATGGCCCACAAGCTAAAAATGGTTTTAATACTTTTTAAGGGCCTACATAATAGCCTTGTGTTTGTCTATGGACCTACAAAGTCTGAAATATTTACTCTCTGGCCCTTCACGCAAAATGTTTGCAACAAGCACCATATGATTTCACTCACATGTGGAATGTAATGAACAAACTGAACTACCAAGCAAAATAGAGAGAGACTCATAGATAGAGAGCAGGAGACAGCGCTGGAGGGGGGAGGGTATGTGGAGGGGTGTTGAGCAAAAATTGAAAAAAGAGAGAACTCTCAGACATGGACAACAGTGTGGTGATTGTGGTGGTGGGGGAGGTGGAAGAGGGCATAGAGGGGATGAATGGAAAAAAAGAAGAAAAAAGGAAATGTTTGCAAAACCCTGCCTTATAAGAATGCAGCCACTGTTGGAGGCAGGGGGTGGGTAGGAGAAATAAATGCCCCAATGCCTCCCTAATCTTGCCCTCTTGTCTCCTTCTGGTGCCACCTATTGGCCAAACTAGGGGAAACCAGATGATGCCATCTGGAGGTCAGGTTTCCAAAGCACAGAGCCAGGAAGGCAGAAAAACAGGAGAGTGAATGGGGGTAGGCAGCTCACAGAGACAAGCTAGCCTGCTCTCTGCTCTACTATAAACAGGGAGAAGCCCCCCTCACACACCCTGTGCCCACCTGGGAGTTCGCCAGTAAAAGTGGTCATACATCTTTTAATGTATTGCATTTGAGTCACTTTTTTCATGCATTCCATGAAATGGATTCGAGAAGCAAGTGAGCACATTTGCTAAGCAAACCCAGTGAGAACTCATCACGAGAAGGAGTCTACAGTGGGCTTCTCTCCACCGGCCCCAGTCTAATTTAAGGCACTGACCACACTTCACCCTTTCCTCATTCCAGGCTCATGACTATTTGGCCTGAATTTCCCTTTGCTTGATTTCCACCCCCTGGATTTACAGCACCCCATGTTTCTCATTAAATTGGGACTGACCATTTCAGACAAGTTAAGTAATGCCCAGATATATGGCCACCAGATAGATTAAAACCAGGACTGTTTTCAGGTTCGCTGGAAGGCTTGCAGCCTTCAGAGAAACCATTTTTCTTATTTTCCAGTAGCTCCTCCACATGACTGGAAATGACAGCTGAAGGACAAAAGCCAGACCCTGGCGGGCCAGGCAGGCTGACTCTTCTCTGCAAGAGCCAGACCAGCCTGTGCTGCTTGCAGGGCCTGGGAGGGGGCGCTCTTCTGTCCATTTGCTGTTGGGCTCACCTGCTGTCCTTGGCCTTCAGCCCCTTGACCTTGTGATCAAGCAGCTTTCGGTCATGAAACTGTACTGGATGAAACTTAGTAGCC